CAATCTTTTTTTTTTTAAGTTTGCTAGAATTTTTAATTTGTACTCACCAGAAGGACAGCAAAAGTGAGAAAGTGCTCCCATGGGAGATGGTCATGCAGCAATCCCTTCTCCTTCATTTCTCCTTTAGGGGATCAGGGCAGGCACATTTGGCCACATGGCGTCTACTGCTTTAACCACCAGGCCACTCACTGGTCCTCAATCATTTTTTTAAAGCAAATTGGCCATCTAATATTAAAAATACTGATCTCCTTTAACTCAGGAATTCTACCTTTATAAATATATGCTTTCAAAGGCCCAAGCTATGGTAAAATGATATATTCAAAAGGAATATTATCATCACAGTATTTATAATATGTAGATTAAAAAAAATTGAAACCCAAACCAAGCAAGTCTTGATAATCAAAAGAAGATTTAAGCCAATAATACAATTAGTTAAAAAAAATATTTAAAATTATTTAATGACCTGAAAATATTTAAGACAGTTAGAGGAAAAACTAATGATATCATGTTATCTGCATTCTATGGTTAAAACTTTTTTAAAAAGCATTCAAACAGGGAGGAACTGAAAAAGCATACTAATATGTTAACAGTAAGTATATTGGAGCATTTGGGAGGAAAATTTCTCTATCCTGATTTGTACAGGTAATATAAACTTTATGAACAGGATACTTTAATATCAAAATAAAAATTAAAAATATGAATTACTTAAAACATATAATATCCCTATAGCAGTGTATAAAAATATATTTTGATCACAACAAATTTTTTTTAAAAAATTATTTATTGGGACCAGCAGTTAGCGTAATGGCTATGTCGCTGGACTCCCATGTAGTAGACCACGGTTCAAGTCCCGGACCCAGTGACTTAAACTCACACCGGGCGTGTATGTGTGCGTGCCCAAGATCCCTAGAGGAGAAAGGAGGAGAAGGGATTGCAGCATGGCCATCCCCCATGGGGGTGATTTCTCGCTTCCTATCTCTATGAATCTCTTTGTCTTTCTGGCAAGTGCATGCGCCCTATAGCAAAAACCTCTCCTAAAAACAAAAAATTATTTAATTTTATCCATCATTTTTATTTTTCTAATTTGATCAGAGAAAGACAGAGAGAGAGAGAGAAGCCAAACCACCAGGTCCAGGACTTGAACCACGGTCAGCCACGTGGGAGTCCAGAACCTAAACCACTACACAACCTACCAGCCCCAGTCACAATAAAATGTTAAACACAATTTGATTATAATCATTGAAAGTATTTGTATGAAAATATATGACAATTATTTTTACCTGGAGGTATCATATGTGAAATTTTTCTTTATCAATAATGCCTACCATTTTTTAATTAATTTTTTCATAAAATTTAAAGGATATGTTCAGGACCACAAAGCCTTAGGGCATAAAACAAATATTAATTCACTATGTAATATCTCCTTAAAGATTTTTATTATAAGGATAGAAATGTTTCATGAGGTAAAATATAACTTTAAGGCCTAAAAAAAAAATCACAAAGAAGAAAATGCCAAGTTTTAATGTCATGCTTAAAAAAGGTAGAACATAATTGTATTCAAAACAGGTTATATTGGGCAAACGGGTGTGCAGAGGTTAAGACAGCTGGATCCCACATATATGACTCAACGGTTCAAGTCCTAGACCTGGTGATTTGAAAAACATACAGGGCACATGGGCATGCATTCCCAAAATCACAAGAGGAGAGTGGAGAAGGGATTGAGGTCACACCCTAAAGGGGGTGATACCTTACTTTCCCTCTTTTTCTCTCTCTCTGTTTCTAGTGAGCACAGATGCTTTGTAGCAATCAAAAAAAAAAAAAAAAAAAGAAAAAGAAAAAAGAAAAAAAAAAAGAAAGAAAGGTTATAAAATAAGACTTTAACTGACATAATTTTTATGGAATCCTACCAGAAAGCAGTTTTTCTGCTACAATGTAGTCAAGTAAACTTATTCTATGGTTCTTTTCCTTCAGTTATTTAAAAGTTAACTCCTTTAAAATCCTGACCTTTTAGATATTACTTTGAAAGGCAATCAGCAGGTATGCTTTCTGTTAATACTTCTTTTAAACTGCTAGAAGTTGCTGGGAACCAGAAGTTAGCATAATGGCTATGTCGCTGGACTCCCACGTAGCCGACTGTGGTTCGCGTCCCAGACACAGTGGCTTAAAACTCATGCTGGGCACATGTGCGTGCGTGCCCAAGATCCTGAGAGGAGAATGGAGGAGAAGTGATTGCAGCGTGACCATCCCCCCTGGGGGGGTGATTTCTCGCTTTCTGTCTCTACGTCTCTCTCTGGCTGTCTGGCGAGTGCATGCGCCCTATAGCGAAAACCTCTCCAAAAACAAAAACAAACAAACAAAAAAACCCAAAAAACAAAAAACTGCTAGAAGTTGCTAGTGCGCTCAGTTCATTCTTTATGGCTGGCAGCTTTTACTCTATGTACATCAAGTCTATTTAATGTTACATTAAAGGATTACAGGAATAAATGTATTTTTTTTGTATTATCAGTTCATTCAGAATTTCCCCAATGTATAATTCTGCAGTATCGTTCATTCAGAGTACAGAACTAATGCCAGACTAACAGGCAATTGTTTTCATAGGTTTCCAAAGAGATAGAAACTGTATTTATAAACAACGTATTAACGTATAATGCTATAACAGCATTCCTAAATTCCTACTAGTCTTTATTTGGTTTGAAACTGAATAGTAGCTTTGACTAAATTGAAACGGCAAGAGAAAGGAGGAAAGGTCTCATATTCGAATCATCCTTCAGTGGGATAAAACATTAAAGTGCATTAAGCAACCAATGCAATGATCTGAAATAGCCCTAAAATAAAAAGGGTGGATAAAAAGTTGCTTTCTATATGGAAGACAAAAAAAGGTTTTAGCTCAAATGTCTTTATACAAAAGTCCCCCCATATCCTTGGGGTTATGTTCCAAGATCCTCTGTGGACGCCTGAAATATATATATATATTTCTGATGCACACATACCAAATTAAACTTTAATTTTATAAAAGATTAACAGCATAATTAATAATACATAAAATAATAACAAAAGTTATGTGAATGAGTTCACTCTCTTTTAAAAATATCTTACTGTGCTGTACACACCCATTTTATTTTGAGAACATGGTTGACTGCAGGTAACTAAGACTGCAGGAAACAAAGCCATGGATAAGGGGGGGACTACTGGGCATCACTTTAAAGAGAGCCAGGTAGTCTAAACGATTTCAAAAATTTCTTCCAGTTGCTAAGAATGCAACATGTCATTTCATGCAACACATTTTACTTGCTATATGCATAAAGTATAGTTTGTATGTGAATTTAGCATAGTAAATATGTACATTATTATGATGATGCACATTAACGGGCTTTAAAATATAGTTTTGCTACTTTAAATTAGATTCACAATTAAGTTTTTAAAAATTTCTCATCATTCAAATTCTACTTATCTGGTGCCAAGTGTCCAAAAATGAATTTCAGGGACCAGTCTCATTGCACAGTGGTTAGATGCTATGCCCAAGAAGCTGGATCTCACATGATTGACTCTGGCTTAAATTCTAGCCCAAGGAACTTGGAAAAAACTTGTGTGTGTGTGCACAAAATCCTGACAGAAAAGAGAAATGGAGAGGAGAATAGGATTGTGGCATGACCACATTCCACTGAGGAATGCACTTTAGCAATAAAAAAATGACACAGTTGTTCTTAAAAGAAAATTAGACCTGAGCCAGCAGGTATCACGGTGGTTAGGTGCTGGCTGACTCTATGGTTCGAGCCAAGGGCCAAGGAGCTTGAAAAACATATTGGGCATGGATGCATGTGTTTCCAAAATCCTGGGAGAAGGCTGGAGGAGAAGGGATTGCCAAGTGGCCATCCCCCTGGGTGGTGATTTCTCACTTTCTCTTTCTAGTGAGCCCACTCACCCTCTGGTTACATTAAAAAAAACAAAAACAAAAAAAAAACCAACAAAAAAAAGACACAAGTTAGACATAACTATAACTTACAGCAGTAAACTTGGCACAAGGTAAAAACCGTATGCTTTTTACGGTAGAGTGTAGATATACCCACATAATTTTCTAAACTGAGTTTTAAAAAATACTTCAAACTTCAACAGATTCCTACCTTTTAGGCATCAAATCCAAAGTTTTCTGGCTGAATTTACTTGCTGATCGCTATGTAGGAGATTCTTCCCTAGCTGTTTTTATGGATGACTTTGAACATCCAGGTCTCAGCTGAAATGCCTGCTAATTCCTGATTATTTGGATGATTATCAGGAGAAAAATGAAAAATGGGATTTTCAAAATCCCTAAGTTCTAATTTTAGCTCTCAGCTTCTACCTCACTAGATTTACAAAAAGCAAAATGTTTGACTTAATTTAAAGTAATCTTAAAGTGATGAGCAGAGGGCAAGAAAAGCAAAAGATTACAAGAGTTCAGAGCCTGCATAATTTAGAAGTGATTATAGTACACATGGTAGGCTAGACATAGGACTTTTATGTCACTTCCATAGGATATTTTCCCTGTACGTATATCTTCATTTTTAATCAAAAACAAGGATTTTAGTACTTTAAATCAACATTTATATGTGATCTCCTTAAACTCTGAAATGTACTGTAAGAAAAAAAAAATTAATTGCTTATATATAAAGTTTTCATTGTACATATAGAATTACTATTTTTTAGAGCTGTTTAATTTAATTTATTATTATTATTTGAATTTGCTACAAGGTATGTGTGCCAACCAAGAGTGAGTGAGAGAAAGAGAGAAAATGAGAAAGCAAGCCACCAGGTCCAGGACTTGAACTATAGTTAACCAGGTGGGAGTCCAGCACCTTAACCACCATGCCACTTGCTGGCCCCATAGAATGATTTTTTTAAATGCAACAGCAAATACTCTTTTTCTTCACACCTGCATTAAGACAAGTATAATCCCATTCCATACTGAAAATATTAATTCAGTTATGTTCAGATATAGCCATTTATTTCCTAAGGGGTGATCTCACCTTGCACTTTGGACACTTCTGGGCATTCCTCTGCCCATGCTCAATTTCGCTGGCCCAGTGACGCAATAGTTTATCTCCTTTCTTGTACTCTTTGCAGTTAACACCTTCATGCCAAGGAGAGTGGCACTTAAAACACCAGACGAATTGGCAAGTGGGGCACTGGATCTGTGTACAGAAAGATAATATTAAGTACTAGTAGGTATACTAAAAGCATTTAAAAGGATAAGAATAGTGATGCTTGGAGAAGTTAGATAAAAGGTTATCATGTAAAATACCTCCCCCTGGATTGGCTTCCCAGCTGCAAAAACAGTTCTGGCTGGTGATTTCTACCTGAATGAACTTCTATGTGGTACATGAGGGCAAGTTTCTAATGTTTGAGTTCCAGTGGGACAGAAAGCTTAGATATGCTAATAACAACAACTACAAAAATGATGTGATCACAAGAGTTATGTATATAAGAGTGTAATGGAAGAACTGAAGAGAATTATTGACGATGAAATTACAAACGAAGATGATGCTTTGGTGGCCTCCTCCTGGCTGGGTTGGTAGACAGGCGCTTGAAATTGTAATTGCAGGTGAACACACTTCTTTTACCACATCAAAAATCGGTTTTCTTATTGATGTTAATCAGTCAAAGGATACTGAAGGCTTTGGAATATATTACTGTTTGGTACAGAACCTGAACTGTCTAGTTTTCAGCCTTACTGGATTACACTTCAGGACCAAGCCAATTTAAAGAGTATGTTTCGGAAACTGTTTGTATTAATTAAGGGTTGTATTAAGAAAGGGTTCATTTGTCACTTATAATACTGGGATTTGTATGAATGTGAAGCAAACAAAAATCGTTTTGCGTGTAAACTGAAAATAAGAAAAGATAAAAAACAAGCTTAATGGTTATCCTTACTTGGGTCCAAGTGGGGTAGATAGTCCCCACAAATATAAAGTTTTGTTAATAAAACCCCTTGCCATTGAAATTTTGCTTTAATAAAACATACCAAAGCCTGAAATAAAATAAATAAAATAAAATAAAATACTTGCCTTGTTAAAAAAGCAAAATTACAATAAGTCTGCATGCTCTCTTCTTAAAGGAGGAAAGAATTGTTTGGGCAAGGATGATTTGGCTGTTTATAGGCTACGCTGAAATGAAACACTTGAGACATTCTGGAAATCAATTCAGCTTCAAGAAAATCTCCTAGATTAAAGCACAGAGTAAAATCTGAAGGCTCACGATACCTCAAATCCATACAATCAGACTGCCCTTTAATTCAACTTTTCCTTGAACCAATTTCCCAGGCATTTCCACTGCTCTTATCAGTAATGGCTTGCTTCACTTTCGAAAATCAAAGCCCCACAGTTTCTTCATCAAATGAAAAACACACAAGCAATCTGCTAAAGGGCATTTGCTATGAAGCACCATGTAAATTAATGGAAACCTTTGGTTTGCTACCAATCTAAGGGAGATTAATTATAAAAATGTAAAGGATCTTGTTATTAGAAGTATAATCCTGGTGGTCTTGTGACCTGTACCAAAGAAACGACCAGAAGATGCCTTTATAATTTCATTGTGTGGAAGTGTATATGAGTGTGTGTACATCTGTGTGTGTTCATTTAAAATATCTGTCTTTGGGTTAGCAGGTGGCCTGGTGGTTAAGGGCACTGGATTCCCACATGGCTGACCATCGCTTGAGTCCCGGACCTGACAGCTTGCTTTCTCACTTTCCCTCTCTCTCTGTCTGTCTGTCTCTCTGTCCCTCTCTAGGAAAATTAAAATAAATAAACAAGTAAATAAATGTCAATAAAATAATTCTTTAAAAAATCTATTTTCTATTTGACATGGATAATATTTTATCTGACTTCCTTTATCATGAATAACAGTTGAATGTCCCATTCTCACAATATTTCCAGTCTTTGGTCTCTAAAAACATATGCATATAACATGACATTCTCAGCCCTGCTTAATTAAAATTAGTTAATAAAATGTCACTGTGAATGATATTTATAATAGACTATTCTCTGAGCTCCTGCACATGACATCAATATGCACAGGAGAATTTACTGACTACATTTCGAAGAATAGATAGAATTTCTTTTGGTAGGCTGCACCCAATATCGCCACCTGATTTTTTCAAAAACTACTTTTTAAAAAAGTTATCAATTCAAGTTTATTTATTACTGTTATTAATTTGCTAAGGGCTCATGAACTCATCGGAGACAGAGAGAGAAAGAGAGAAAGCAAGCCACCAGATCCAGGACTTGAACTATGGTCGACCATGTGGGAGTCCAACACCTTAACCACCATGCCAACTGCTGGCCCCCAACATCACTTCTGGACAATGGAGAGTCCACTATATAGACTGAGTGGCAATTATAATCATAGCTCTTCCATTTATAACTCAAAACAATGCAGTTTTCACTTACATCAAGAATAATGTTTTTCCTATGAAAATATGAAGTAACAGAAATACTTTTATAAAGTTTAAATCTTTATGTTTATTTATTGAAATTCTGTTAAATGGTAATATCTATATGGACTTCATTACATGAATTATTTATTTTTATCCTCAAAATAGTGTTGCAATGTATAAATATCACAGATTTATAGGTGAGGAAGCTAAGGCTCTTAGATATTAAATAACTTGCCCAACATAACATGGCAAGTATGTGTTAAGGAATTTAAACATACATTTGTCTGGCTTCAAAGCCAGCACATTTTTACTGTGCCCAAATAGTTTTTCAAACTAAATAGCATTCCCTCTTTGACAACTGACAACTCAAAATATAGCAATCAAAAAAGATTACGTGGTTAAACTACTTGTCAACATAAGATGAACTCTGAAAACCCTTTACCAGATTTCACTCACATCAAGTGGGAAAAGTTTTGGTTTCAAAAGGAGATGTTACTACTCAGCCCATTAAAATAACCATTTTTGCCTTTTCTGATTATTAACATTAAAATAAGTCATTTTAAAAACAAGAATGAATTAAAGTGAGTGTCAGATAATAAAATATCATATAATGTTTATTCCACTATGTCACTGAACAATGAAGAATAAATATAAATATTACATGGGATTCCTAACGAATGAAATAGGGAAGAAGTCAGAAAGACATCATGTTTTCTCCTGCAGCTGCCATTATGTCATAAAGGACTGAATACTTAGTTCAGTTCTGTTCTATTAGACATTATTCACAATGCCAATTGCTGGACTCTAGCATGATTACATTTAAAAAAAATCTTTCGTTTTTAATCAGTCTTAGATTACACTCAGGAAATGAACAGAAGGATGAATATAAAGATACTTTAAAACTGTCACTCAGTCTATGAAGGTTGACAATACAATGGCTCAAGAACTTTTGTGACCAAATGCTTTATTATTATATATACAGATTTTAAATGAAGACAATTAGTAATGTGTGATTCTTCTAAGATACTACCAGAACAATAAGGAATCTGACACTCGGGTGTCCAAACCAGGGACTCAGGCTTATAGTAAACTACTATTTTACGACGTATCCTACTGCTACTCTTTACCAACAACACAGACTCAGGGATAATTATGACAAGAGTTATGCAGTAAGCTCTTAAGTGAATATGTAGGTACTTCAAAAAGTTCATGGGAATAGCATTTATTTTGGGGAAAAAACTTTAGAATTTATGCATAGGGGTTTTTTTATATACATATTTTCCATGAACTTCTTGAAGACCCTTCATACAAATAATTTAAATTTATAGCTGATTGCTTACTGTCTCTTATCAAAAACATAAAAATAACTATTACTTTGCTTTGGATTAAAATAATAAAAGGGCTAGGAGCCAACCCAAACAACTTTGGTATTAGAGATTGTGCCTAAATTCTCTTAATACTGAGTTTTTGGTCAGAAGATGCATTATTCATTCTGACCTTAATCATTTTCAAAATTAGTCTCATATAAACATGAACAGATATCAATGCTGTATCTTCCTACACTTCTTTGTCCATAGTTATTGTTTCATAAGAAATGCCATGTTATAACCACAGGCTTACCACAAGGAGTGCTTGCCTTCTGAGTAATTATAGTACCACAAATGTCTTTCCTTGCTACTCAAAGTGTGATCGGATTATCAGCAACATCAGCATCACCTGGGAACACAGAAGTCATGAATCCCCAGATACTGAATCAGTGTTTGAATTTCATAAGGACTCTAGTGTTTCACACACATGCTAAATTTAAGATGCTCTGTCCTGTATCATATGACCTTGTCTCCTTGGCCACAACTTTCTGGGTTAAGGAAGAGTCCCTAAGTGAAAACCACGTATCTGTTGGTATCTGTTGGTTGTCACCACTGGCAATTACCAAAGCAGTGGCAGACACAAGCTGTGTGCAGCAGGGATGGTTATTGGATGGAGATTGGCCAAAACAGACTTTCTTTCCCAAGAAGTCTGAAATGAGGATACACTTACACACTGCCTTTGTAATGAAGGAAAAGACAAAGAGTTGACTGACTAGTGCAGATCACTGGAAAAGGGAACAAACTTTGACTTCTGGTGGGATGACAGGGAATCTCTTTCGACTAGATTTGGTGTCCAACTCTGCCAGAGTGGATGTTAAGATGCTTTCCTGCCCTTCCTACTGTCCGTGGAGCCTTACAGTAAACCTCACTAAGGTAACCTGAGAAACAGCACATTTCTGCTTTTTGTACTTGGAAAGAATCCAAAGAATACAGTCTGTCTATTGAAATCTTGTCCTGACCAAACGCTTCTTGCTTCAAGATGTCTTTTCTAATCCTCCCAAGCAGATAGAGAACCTTTCTTACTGAATTTATATTAGGTGTGCAATGATCTGATCTCCCTAATGGCTAAAAAGTCATTGAGGGCAAAGGCTCTGTCTGGTTTATACTGAATTTTCTCAGTTAAGTAACACAGGACTTCTGGCACATGGTAGGCGCTCAGTTATTTGTAAAAGAGTTTATTTATTTATTTTAAAAGAATTATTTATTTAATTTTATTTATTATTACTTTAAAATTTGATGAGCAAAAGAGATAGGAAGAGAGAGAGAGAGGGAGAAAGAGAGAAAGTGAGAAAGCAAACCATGAGGTTTGGGACTTGAACTGTGGTGGGCTATGTGGGAGTCCAGCACCTCAACCACCATGCCACCTGCTGGTCCCAAAAGAGTTTATTTTGTA